ATCTATCTATATATATATATACACACACACACACACATATATATATATAAACACAAACATGCATACATATATATACAATACATATGCAATATGCATGTGTGTATATATACATACATATATAATATAAATTTATATTTACTGCATTATACTTTCAGAATAACAATAAAATTACCAGAAATATGGTAGCTGAAAACAATTCAAGACTTTGTTTTCTTTGTAGTTCTTTTTTGTCCTTGGGGTTTATATCACTTGAAATATATAGCTAAATTACTGTGCATAAAAATTACTTAAAATAATTCCCTGTGCCACCAGCTCAATAAACTACTAGGCTTGTTTCACTTAGCTTTATATTTATTAGTGTTTGAAAATTCACTTTTGTTTTATTAAGTAAACTAATTAAATAATTCCAAAATCAAATCTATAAAACAAAATCTATTTCAAGAGTCTTAACTTCCTTACTATGCTTTCTATCCTGTTTCTTCTCTAAACTGTGCTCCACCTTTTTGTTTTTAGCATTTTAATTTATGTTTCCAATGTTTTTATTTTTTTAATCTTTTATCCAATATTTATTTATTTAAGTTTTATTGTGATATGGGTGAAAATTTACCGAGCAAATTCACTTTCCAGACAGCAGCTTACATACAATGTGTCTCTGACATTGACTACAATTTACCACAATGTAACAGCTCCCCTCCCACTTCTTCCCCATAGTTACCTCTTCCCAGTGTCCATCCCTCCCTGCACTCCTGCCCCCTGAGCTGTCTCCCTGTGCATAAGCAGCCCTTCTATTCTCCCATGATTGATCTCTCCAAGGAGTGTATCTACCTAATGTAAAAGTTCAGCTCATATGCCTGACTCTTGTTTGGCTGAAAGCCACAGGAGTGGGTTCAGTTCCAGGCCTGGAAGGCAACTAGGGTCCATAGTCTCAATGGTTCCATCAGGCTCTATCAGACCAGCAAACCTGGTCCTTTTTTTTTTTTTTAATGATTTTGAGTTTTGTTCCACATTGTTCTCCCACTCTATC